ACCCCACAGTTCCCTGCCATGGGAGTGCTATGAAATTCTTGCAACAGCTTCAATCTTAACGGGGATCTGTTATGCACGTAATATCGTGACTTGAAAATGAGCAATCCATTGACCTCACCATAATCAGCAGACAACTCTCCATTCGCCAGTTTTTGTTGAAGTTTCAGTAATTCAACATTAGTTAAGTTCTCATGGCGAAGCTCGTCTAAAAATGTTGGAACGAGCTTGCTAGGAATCGTAAAACACGAAATTGAATTATTTTCTGCTGAGGAGTCAGTCCCAATATCAACTAGAGGAGACCACGATAGAGCATCGGCGATGACATTAAGTTTCCTGGGTTTATATTCGATTGAGAAGTCATAGCCGAGAAGTTTCCGCACATATTTTTGTTGTTCAGGAGTATGGAATGTTGCTGCAGAATCTCCTTAAGGCTCTGATGATCTGTTTTGATAACAAATGGGTGGCCCAAGAGATATTGGCGCCACCTTCCCATGGCTTCAGTTATCGCATGGAGTTCTTTGATGTAGGCTAAAGCACCCTGAAGACGAATTCCAATCTTGCGGCTATAGTAAGCAACAGGTCGGTTGCCATGCAACAACACCGCACCAACTCCAACATCTGATGCGTCAGTCTCGACAATAAATGGCTTATCAAAATTTGGAAGCTGAAGGACAGGGGTTTAGAACATAGCGTTCTTGAGCTCGCTAAGTGCCTTAGAAGCTGACGGTGTCCATGAGAAATTTTCCTTGCGCAGCAAATCTGTGAGAGGAGCAGCAATAGTAGCATAACCTTTCACGAACATTCGATAATAACAGGTTAAGCCGAAGAAACCCCAAATGTTTTTCGTAGTGCACGGTTCAGGCCATTCAAGCATTGCCTGGACCTTCTTTGGATCTGCACGAACTACTCTCGCACTCACAATATAACCAAGATATTCCACAGAGCTTTCATCAAAACTACACTTCGAAAACTATACATATAACTTATTTTCTTGCATACACATCAAAACCAACCTCAAATGCTCGGCATGCTCGTCCTTAGATTCACTATAAATCAATATATTTTCAAGGAAAACAACCACAAAACGACGTAGGAAAGCCCGTAATATATGACTCATGGTGGCCTGGAAGGTAGATGGAGCATTAGTCAACCCAAACGGCATGACAAAAAGTTCATAATAGCCCTCATGAGTGCGAAAAGTTGTCTTAAACACATCTCGGTCAAACACCCGAATGTGATAATAACCCGCTTGAAGGTCTAACTTTGAATAAATCATTGATTTTCCCAACTCGTCGAGCAACTCGTCCACTGTCGGGATAGAAAACTTATCCTTAACAGTTACCGCATTAAGTGCACGATAATCTACATAAAAACGAAATGACCCATCACGTTTCTTGACCAGCAACACCGGAGATGAGAATGGACTTTGACTGGGTAGAATGAGACCTTTTTCAAGCATCTCTTGCACCAATCTCTCCATTTCATTTTTTTGAAAGTACGGGTAGTGGTATGGACGAACATTAATTGGCTTAGTGCCTGGCTCCAGATGAATTCTATGCTCAAACAAGCGTCGTGGAGGTAGCTCGGTTGGTGTCACAAGAACCTCAGTAAACTCAGTCAGAACCTCTTTTAGTCTTGGACGTACCGACCTAAAATCAAGAGATTGAGGTATCCTTTGAGAGGCCTCGGCCACAGGTGCAATGAAGTAAAGCTCGAAGAGTTTGACTACCTTATTTTTACGCATAAGACTTTGTAGCATTTAGAAACTTATTTCTTTCTTCCCTAACGATGACTCGCCTTTCAGTATCACCTTCTTTCCTTTCCATTGAAATTCCATACGCTAGTGGGTGTAGTCATGCGTAACTCGTCCTAACTCTCGAAGCCATTGAACACCAAGAATGATATTCGGGCCCTGTATCGGCAATATAAATAAATCGAGGTTGAATTTAGTTCCCTGTAAGTCAATCGGGACATCCGTACACTTTTTGTCCCATACCAATGAGCCACCATTGCCGATATACACCCTAAATCCAGACGTGGGAACAAGGTTGAGCTGTAACTCTTCTGCCAACTTTGGTTGGATAAAATTATGAGTGATGCCATTATCAATTAGAACTTCAAACTTATGTGCACCTTTTTTTTTTTCCTAAAACACGTAACGAGCGGGGAGCCCCTTTTCCAATAAGAGAATTCAAGGTGGAGACATCACCCTGAATCAAGTCATCCTCACGTGGCTCAGTATCGTCCCCAAACACAACCCCATCCTCTACAAATGGATTAGAAATATCAGCTTCGATAAGCAATGCGATGCTATGCTTGCAATTGTGTGTTGGTGACCACTTTTGATCGCAATTAAAACATTCCCCCCTCATGTGTTTTTCACGTATTTGAGCAACGGAGAGACGACGAAAGGCAAAGATGAAGGCTCTCGGGAGCCATCTGGTGGTCCTGATGGTTTGGTAATCTGTGAGGATTGAAATGGACCATCACGTTGATCTGGTACTAACGGCCGAGAGGGAGAGCTCCCACCTGGAAGGATGTGCCACGAGAAAATGCGCGCGAGTAACTGCGACATGCAGCCCGCGTCTCTAGGTATTTGCACTCAAAGTGCCTAGCCAAAGCAAAAGTTTCATCCAAGGTGAAAGGTCTGTTCATCTGGAGATCCCGACGAATGGTTAACTTAAGGCCTGAGATGAAAAAAGAGATCAATAGTGGTTCTGCGATGCCCTTAGCACGGTTCATGAGAGATTCAAATCAGACTGGTACTCAACAACTGACCCTTGTTGTGTGAGTTTTGCCAGACTGCCTCCGGATCTTCAAAGTGCGACGCGCCAAAACGTGCTTGAGCCCTACTGCCTATGCAAAAAATCATCCCATGTAGAGAGCATTCCTTGCGACTTCAACCACTGGAACCATGTTGAAGCTTTACCATCCAGATGAAAAGCAACAATTTGGAGACATTGTGAATCTGGGGTCTTATGGAATGAGAAATATTCTTGTATTTGAAAAACCCACGAATATGGGTCTTCGCCATCGAAACGAGGAACTTCAAGGCGAACCGAATGGCCACGATTTGGAGGTAGTTCCTCAGTTTGAGAGATGAAAGATTGTTCCTGTTTTGGCTTGAGAAGGGCCAAAATTTCATCCATCTGAGCCTGAAAACTCATTTGTTGTGCCTTTAACGACTGTTGAAGCTCCTGATAGCCCTGAATACTCGAACGAACATAGTCATCCACTTGGGCGCTGAGCGCACCCAATTTTTGCTGCCATGATCCTTCGTCGTGCCCCATGACTCGAATTTAATGGAAGCACTAATCATATGTAGTGTACTAGTGTTACGCTATCAAGTGCGTGATAATTCCTTCTCCACGATCACGTGAAGCCTACCACAAGGGTTATGAAAAATATGATTCTTATTATTCTCCAAAATAACAAATCCTAGCTTTATATATAGCTAGGTCATGCAATAGTTTTTAACATTATGGGCTTTCATAAATCAACCCAAATTAAACAAAACTAAACCAATAAAATATAAGGAATAATTATAATCAACAATTATCATAGCGAGCGGGTCTTCGAATTATCCGGCGGGACCTTCTCTAGGCCAGACTCGCATCTCCATCAACATCAAGACTCGAACTCGTGGTCGTATCAAAATGCATTTATCGAGAAGTAAACTTCGTACTCGAACCAGGTTACCTATAGCGACTGCCTTTTTTGTTATCCAGCCTTGTAATAATCAATGTAATAGCCTTTTTGTTATCCAGCCTTGTAATAATCAGTGTAAAAGCGATTACCTTTTTGTTATCCAGCCTTGTAATAATCAGAAGTGTAGTTTATAATTTTTGGTATGTGAATTTCAAGAAAATGGCTTAAGAAATAGAAAGAATTTTGGTAAAACGAACAAAGTCGAGGCACGTAAGATACGCTCTCCTTAAGACGAAATAGCCCCG